AGAATTCCTTCGGGCTACTGCAAGCGCCTTGAGGGAACTGTGCAGTCCTAAGCAGAGTTACACCAGTCCAAGCCTGCTGAAGTAGTCTGTGTGTCAGACTCAGGCATCTGTCCAACTGTACCTGCTGTATTCCAACCCAGTGCAGTCACACCTGTTATGTTTCAACCCAGTATAATCATGCCCTGTGTATCCCATTCACTCCCTGCTCCCAACCATTTGTTATTCCTATGTCCTTATCGCTGGCCCTCGCCTGCCATCGCATTCCTGGGGTGTGTGTGAATGCCTGTAGAGTTTAGGGAGGCTAGCTTCAGTAACTCTTCCATGGTGCCTCGAAGACATCTTTTCACATGGGAAGTGTCCTTGAGCAGAGTCTGTGTTTGGCTAGTAAAAGACCGTATATCTTTCACTGTCTTTGTAGTATTGCTGATGTGTACGAATTGAATTTTGGGGTGGTAATTATACGCTGCTTTCCCGCCTTTGCACCTCAGTCCTGACAAAGAGTCTGAACCCATCAGCATCTCAAATCTCTAAATAAACCTTTCACCAAAGAAAGTGTGTGTGGAAAGTGATGTGACTGGGAACCTGACACTGTAGTCAACAGAACAGGCCCATGCGGTTTGAGCAGCATCAGGAGGGCTCCACAGCTCGACTGGAAGACAATGTGGCCGGGCTGCTGAGGGTGAGGAGAATCTGTGGAAGGGGGCCAACCTGTGCCGGTGAGCCTAACATTTAAAAGGTGGCAGTGAACAACTGGGGTGTGTGTGTAAGAATACAGCTGTGGGCACCTGGCAGAGAAACAGTTGGGAACACTGAAGCACCCTTGGCCACGGGCTGTGGGACTGGAGGCAGCAACTGCAGGGGAAGTCTTGGAAGGGCAAGAGGAAGCTGCTCTAGCCAGTGAGGGTGACAAAGCCCACCAAGAGAAGGCAAAGCAGGCAAGGGTAATAGCTCTGGGAACTGAGCTCTGAGAGGTGGCACAGTGAGAAGGCCCTGTGAGGAGAGCACAGCACTATGGGAAGGCCAAAGAGGACTTCCTGGGGAATGGAACCCAGATCCCGGTCTGAGGCCACAGCACTTCTGTCACCCAGTCAAAACTAGAATTAAAATGATGGATGGTATAAGAGAAATAATGTTAATTTCACCCTGACCTGGATAGCCCAGGTAAGCCCGATCCCACCAGAGCTCAGAAACTAAGCAGGGTCAACTCTGGCAAGTACTTGGCTGGGAGACCTCCTTGGAATACCAGCAGTCAGGAGGCGGGGGCAGGCTTTATTCAGCCACCTATCTGAATATCTTCCAGGCCCCCTACAGGGGTCAGTCACCAGAGGTCGACATGACTTCCAGGTGCGCACACACTCACACAGATGAAAAAATTCTAAGAAAGTACCCCCCCCAAAGAAATAATGTAAATTTGATTATGAATTATGTTCTATTCCAGTTTTACATATTTACTTTGATAATTCAAGTCTAATGTTATTTTATATGATATTTCTAAGCAAACATTTAGTTTGTGCGTGTATTAATGTGATTAGTTGGAAAAGGTAACAATTTTTGTTCCCTAATTTAGACATTTGTCCTTTAAATGAAGACAGTGTTTTGCTTTTCACTTTGTCTGAAAAGAAATCAGCCATATGACACAGAATGGCAGCATCTTAGCCACAGTTTCTTAGCCATCTTAGCCACAGTTTCACGAAGTAGAACAAAACAGAAATGGAGGGGGGGGAAATCACCTTTGCCTGGGACAAACTCCTTCTGGAGGATTTCCTTTAGACAGTTGTTTCCATGCAGCAGCCAATGGCTAGGTAAGATATACAAGTGAGAAGCTCCATATATGGCTTCAGGTGTAGATGTATAGGCTGATATTGTTTCTCCAGTTGGTTTGTTCATAACCTGACAGAACAGAGGGAATGTTCCAAGTAAAAAGGTTACTGCAGTTTGCCTCCATGACAATACAACATTTTCACTGCACCAATGGTTCATTTGGCTGCTCTTCAAAATGCTCCATTCAAATTATTTGTCCACTCTGCGCATACCTCATGTGTCATTTTTTAGCAGTTCAATTTGTTAAAATAAAAATCAAGCCCAGGGTCCCCCAAAATGGCACCCAGCAAATGAAAGGGTCTTAAATGGCTGCAATAGCAGCTGCAGCCACTGGTGGATCAGGAAAACTGGTAAGCACCTGGGCTTTCCTTAGTCGGGATGTGTTCACTTTCTACCTGCCCCCTTCAGCTTTCCTTCTTTTTTTTTAATTCTCCTTCTCTGATTCTTTTGCAAAATAAGAAGGGATATACTGCATTTGGTTCCACAACCCACAGCATCCATTTTGGGGTTGGCTTCACCATTCTTGGTGATGCTCATCACACTCTCATGAACATGCCCAGAGGCTCAAAAAAGTTGGGGAACCCCTGGTCTAGCCCATCTTCCTAAGCAAAAAAGCCCAAATCAGTATACATAGAAGTACATCTAGACCTACAATTAACGTTCGAACAAATCACAGAGCCACTTCCCAAATCAATTCAAAACAAGAAAAGCAGCAAACAGTTCATCATCAAACCAGACAGAATATAATTAGATCGGGGCAGGCTATATTCAAACAGTTTTCCATCACATTATGAGAAATATCACTGCCATTTAGTTTGACCGCTTAATTCTAAAAGTGAGCAACTCACCTTTAACATGAACTCAAAATAGCATCCAGAACAGTCCCCCAGCCAATTGGCTTGCATTTCTTTAATCCCATACCACTTGGGGAGCCCAGGCAAAGCATCAAGCATGGCCTACCAGAACAGGGAAAACATTAGGAACACAAATTATGGGTATAGCAAAGACCTGGACCAGGCCTGTTTTTCCCCATCCTCCTCCCTCAGACCTTTGACACAGAGTATGGCGGATAGAAGATGTGGTGTAAAAGAAGAGTACCTAACCACCCAGAATCCAGCTAGCTTTCGATGCAGCAAACAAATAGTGTCCTCCCTTGTCTTTTGTAAACTGGATGGCACACGAGTGATTTGCGACACAGATGAAAACTCTGAATTAATTTGAACAAATAAAATGTAAATTACCATGTGCATTTCATTGTCTAACCCTGCCTTGCAGTTTGGCTCTTTATTAAATCTTCTTCGCTCCCTTGTAAAAAGTGCAAAGTAATTCAAAAGACACAGGATGTGAAGTGTTTGGTGTTCCAAGAGCTTTTCTAAAATATTCCTGATCAATACCACTGCTTGTGCCCATGCTTTCCTTCTACCAGTTTGTTCTGTGGTGTGCCCACACTCGCTTCCGATGCAAGAAGCCTGACGCCGACATGAAATGCTCTTGTGCCAGTGCCAAGGTGTCTTCCCTCAGTGGAAGGCACCTTGTACCACAGGACAGTATAGGTGCCGGTGGAACAAAATGAAAAGACTTAACCCAATGGACTCCATCTGCCATGGCAGTACCAAAATGAACACACACACAAACGGAGGGAATCACAAACTAGAAAGAAAGAGAAGTTCACAGGAGCCAAACCCTCCCTCCTCTAAACATCGACACCACCAATCCTAATCAAATCTGGACCACAGTGAGAAAGTGCTTGCTGCTGTCCTGTTGCCACACTTGGTCAGTGAGGAGAGGCCAACCCGAAGAGACTGTGAACTGCTGGAAGGACCCCTGAGGGGCCAAGTTGTGACACTGGCTGCACCTGGAGAAGCCTGCGTGCTGACTCAGCTCCAATAGCAGTCAGCCCCTCTCCAGCTTCATACCGCGGCCCTCCTGTTGAGGGTAGCACCCCTTGGGTGCATTCCTCCAGTGGGAAGCTCTGGTGGCTGGTGGAACCCTATGGGGGATTCTCTTTCAAGTGGTGGATGTGGAACTCTGGGGTAGGGAATCTGCACTTGGCAGCCCTTCAGTATGAGTGGCGTTCCATCTCAGATCAAGGTGGTGCAAGGGGTGGAAAGACATGGCGGTGGGAGGAGGGTTGGAAGACATGGAAGGAGATTTAATGGCGGTTGCTGCCTGTCTTGGATACAGGAGGGAAAAGAGATGGCTCGTTTTGACGCCTGGCAAAGGAAACTTAAATGGGGGGCTAACACGTCTAATGTGTTAATGTTTTCCCAGCTGCCATTGTCCTGATATTTAATTTTTAAATATTTGATCCTCTTTTGTTATCTCACTATTTTGCCACCTTTGACTGCTGTTGAGGTTGACCGAGTGAGTCTTTACTGTCGGCTGCGGGCTGTTAAAAATAATACGTGTGCTTCCGTTGCTCGTCAACATTCTTGGCTGTTTATATTTCTGGATCCACAATGGTTGTTTTGGTGATGTTTTACAGGTTTGTTTGTTTGTTTGTTTTTTAAAAAAACTGTACTGTAACTGCGTTAGTGGGGTATTTGTAAACTGCCTTGGGAGCCACTGGCTGAGAGCGCAGAGTATAAGTGTTTTAAATAAATAAATAAGAGTACAATTCACACCATAATTGACAATTTGCCACCTGCTGCGACTACTCCAGATCCACTGCTGTGGAAAGCTCTCTCAAACTGCCTGATGGTAGGTTGGGCCCTAGGAGGAATGTTGACTGAGTGGGCAGGCAATCCACTCTTAGTGGAAAGAAACAGAAATCTGTACTTTGCCAGAGCTTTATCAGCCCACACAAATTAATAAACACAAATATGAGTAAAATAACAGGAGCAGAAACTTAACATATAAGTTCAAAGGAGAAATAAAGGATGTAGCTAGAGGGTAAAATGTAATTTAATACAAATTCAGAGCAAATCCATGGTAAGACAGCACACTCACATAATGTACCAAGAAAGCAAAAGGAACCATTAAGTCCTTATTTGTATTTAGAAGTGAGAACAAAGAATGTCAGTACAACCTTCATTATCAGGAGGCGAAGGCAGAAGAAACTGTGGCAAGTATCAGCAGCATTTCATGTGAAGAAGAGGAAGAGATTGGATTTATACCCCGCCCTTCACTACCCAAAGGCGTCTCAGAGTGGCTTACAAACTCCTTTCCCTTCCCCTCCCCACAACAGAAACCCTGTGAGGTAGGTGGGGTTGAGAGAGCTCTGTCAGAAACTGCTCTTTTTCAAGAACAGCTGTGCTAGAACTATGGCTTGCCCAAGGTCATCCAGCCAGGTGCAAGTGGAGGAGTGGGGAATCAAACCCGGTTCTCCCAGATTAGAGTCTGCGCTCTTAACCACAGCACCAAACTGTGGTAAAAGGTATGTTGAAGACAGCAGATCCTCCAAGCCAACAAGTGCGAGGCTAGGTATGACCAATTTATGAAAACCAAAAGGAATATTTTAGAGGTTATGTCAATAAATATAAATAGGATGGAAACATGCAGTTTTAGGTCATGCACATTTGAGCGAGAGAGAACATGTTGTTGAACTACAGCTGAACTGTATTTCAGTCTTAAACACCTAACAGCTGCAACACCAAAGCTTAATCAGGTAGAGACGGTACAGTCACACATTAAGCATATGTTCAATGTCTTTCAAAGCCTACAAAACAACCTGACTTCATTTTAAGAGACATCCGCCTTATCTAACCTTTTTAGGCCAACCATTTATTAACACTTTACTAACATAATGTCACATTTTATGATGTCCCACATAGCTCTATAACGTTGTAATAATGGAAGAGCCACTTCCCCAATAGTATAGACTAGAATAAAGGATATCAACTCTCTTTCTTTAATGAGAGTGACTTTTCATCCACGAAAGACATCCTTGAATAGCTCTGCGGCCAGCTGGATGTACCCTGAGCCCTTGAGCTGTTTGGCACAGATGGGAGAGAGATTCAGTCAGATGAGAAGGTCGTGAGCTACTCTTGAGGAGCTCCCGGTAGTTTGTGATTGAGGTCACACACACTAAATAATCCACTTTCAATGCACTTTCCAACTGTTTTTTTGCCAGTTCACACCAATGTTCCCGCTAAGCTGTGGAGTCTTGTGAGCAAAAATTCTACTTTGTGAGCTACTGCCATTAAAGTTGTGAGCACACAATTTGGCTACAGCATCAATTAGTTTGCTCTGGAGCCATCCTCCCTGAGCGAAAACAAAAATCTTTGAGCTGGAGGCTAAAAAACTGGGAGCTAGCTCACACTAACTCAGCTTAGAGGGAACAGTGGTTCACACAGTAAAATCCAGTTGTAAAATGCACTGAAAGTGGATTGAAAATGGATTATTTACTGCGTGATAGCAGCCTCACTGGCTAGCAATCCCTGGTCTAGAACAACTATTGTCAGATGCTGGTATTGGGATGTAACAGTCGCAAAACCAGAACTGGGTCTCAAAAAAGGCACTTCCAGGAAGATTTTTTGATGCATTGCCTCAGGCAGAGCAACATTAGAGTGGTATTCGTAGCTAATAAGCTGTCCAGAATGATGGGTCCTGCTTATATGAGATGATACATCAGTGCATGTCATTGTGTGAACCACTGGAACTAGGCATATATTTAGAAACTGGAGGAGAGGGGCAGATAACATTGAGACGAAACGTGCTTCCCAGCGAAGCAGTCAGTTATACTGGAAACTACTAACAAGCGGATAGAGAAGAAATAACTAACACCAGACATAGTTAAATTTCCCACAAGTTATTATCGGCTATGCCAGTTCCTCTTCTGAGGGCAAAACTAGACACGATGGCATCCTCTTGTCTGTCATGGGCACGCTACTACCATTTTAAAGTGATTTAAAAATGCTACAAGGGCCTGATTCTGACTGAGTCTGCGCCATATTGAAACAGTTATGGGTGTGTGAGAAGATGTTTCTGTGTTTGAAAAGGTATTGGGGGGGGGGAGACTGCCTAAGACCACTGCGCTGTGAGCCCCTTATGGCAACTTTAACTTTAAAAGTGTCCCTGGGGCAGACACAAGGACGCCACCAGGTTTAGTTTGGCCCTTTGGTTCAAGACAACATCTGCTTTGTGACAAACATCTGCACTTCACCTTCGGATATTACATATATGGGGAATAACAAGGATACCTCCCTCCTTTCATTGCCAACTCTGGAAACTCCAGACAATTTCCTCCTGCCTCTTTTTCTAGAGGGGAGAATAGAAAGTCCAAAGAGGAGAGAGTACAAAAAAAAAAATCATCCAAGAAGGAAAGGAAAACACAGCATTTGTCACACAGGGGGCAAAGAAAGACTAGATTATATGAGAAATACTGAATTAAATCAAAAGGCCAAGAATTAGGCTGAATTGCAGATTCCCTCTCATCACTGTTCCCATGGTCAAATGTTAAAAAAATTTCAATTAGATACCGAAGCACAAAAAAAGCTAGTCCTGCAACAGGACAGAAAAGCAAGTGGTTTCTAACAGCAGAAATGGTAATTCGGTTGAAATGCTCAGTGGCTGAAAATCCAAGCAATGCTATGCAAATCGTAAGTGAATGAAAGGATGCACTACGATGACCCCTGAATAAGGAAGGATAAGAGATAAGCACTCTATGGCTGAAATGTGCGTGGCTGGCATTGCACATACCATAATGTGTATCTTCAGCTTGAGCATTCTTTATGTTGAAAGGCAAGGAATTGTTGAGAAGAAAATAAACACACAGGACAAGCCCTGCTGAATCAGACCAAAAATCCACCTAGCTGAGCATCATCTTTTGTTTAGCAGCCAACCAGATGCTTTGGAAAGCCCACAAACAGGACAGGAAAACACAAGCTCTACCCTGCTGTTGCCTTCCAGCAAATGGTATTCAGAGATCCTCTGGATGTATCTTCCAGGCAGTTCAGCTAATGATTATGGACAGAAAACAAGCATTCAGGAAGGAAATAATTACTTCAGAAGGGAA